CAAGGGAACCTGTATTCCCTGAGGTCCAGGTCACCTACAGGTCGTGTGGGAACAACACAGACAACACTTGCCACGTTCAAGTCCCACTCACTCCTGGGTGACCAAGAGCTCTGACTCCTCCCAGATAAAGACTTCAGCGTCTCCCCCATTTATTGGAAGGCCAGGGTGATTTAGAGGAGTATGTTTGGGGCTGCCTCCAGCAGCACAGTGGCTGAGCGTGAGACCTCTCAGTCTGTGCTGTTTAGGATGGCAGCCACTGGGCATGTGAGGCTCTTGGGCACTTGAATTGTGCTAAGTCCAAATGGAGTGTGCTGTATGTGTAAAATGCACTCCAGATTTTGAAGACATAGTGCAAATAAATGGATGTAAAATATCCCAATTTTTAAAAATAGATTACATGATGAATTGATAATATTTTGAATACATTGTGTTAAATAAAATATTACAACTTTAAAAAAATAAGACATGAAGACAGAACAGTAAGTTGAAGACAAATGAATTTTTTTACAGATCTATAGGACATAAAATGGCCTGCATTACTAATAAGCATAAGAAAAATTCGCTGTTAATTTCCTAGTAACCTGAGGAAAAGAAATAGAACAGCTGCAACCTTCACACTGAATATTATTACACTTACTCAGAACTGAAGTTCTTTAACAAGGTGTTGCCTCTTTAGCCAGACAGACTGCCTGGGCTGAATTTGATTCATCCAAGCTTGCAAGATCATCGAAGCCATTGAGACTCAGTTTCTTTATCTGTGAGATGGGGATTATAATAGCATATTTCTCACAGACTGCCAGGAGGATAAAAATCTTTCATTAAACAGATATTTTTTGCACATCTCTTATGTCCTGAAAAATGTCCTAGTCATTGGAAATCCCCCAGAAAACAAGGAAAACAATAGAGCTCAGCAGTTCCAGTGCTTACGTTCTCCGGAGGACAGGGGTTGGGTCAGAGACAAATAATTAGCATGCAAATGAAGATATAATATGTGATATCATAAGGATGTCGATTTAACCTAAATTTATGCATTTAAGGCCATCCCAACAATCATATCAAAGGCATTCTTTTTTAAAGTAGATAAGCGGATTTCAAGTTAATATGAAAAAATATGAAATCATTCTAACAAGGAAAACTGTGAAGGAGAATAATAATGAGAGGGATTGCATTATATATTCTTAAATAGTTTATGGTTGCAGTGATTGAAGTAGTGTGCTGTTAGTGAATGTATAGAGGGGAATACATTTAACAGACTAGAAAGTTCTAATAGAGGTGCTTATATAATTAGGAATTTGGTGTTTGATAATGTAGCCTATAATTCTCTCTTGAAACATAGCAAGGTAGCAGTGAAAAATATATAAATAAAAAGCTTAAATCATCACTACCAAACATGTTTTTGTTCCTTTGATTTTTTATTTGTCGTAAAATATTTTAGACATTTACAAGTATAAGAATATTACATGAATATTCATGTACATAGCATTCCCGATTAAAAAAATAAACATTTCAAATGTTTGGGAGGCCCCCATATACTGTCTCTGGTTGACTTCTCTTATTTTCTAGTACCTAATTAACTACACTGCTGAATCTGGAGATACTTATTTTATTTAACATTTATATTTAAGATTTCTTTATGATTTTTTTTAAACACTGGAACTTGCATTTTCATCGGTATCAATAGGAATATTTATTTGTTCATTTACCTATCCGTATTTCTCATGGATTGAGTATTTAAGATTGCTACATGTATTTTTTTCCTTCTATTGGTAAATCCTTCCAGGTCACCTTCAGAACACACTGAGAATCTAACCTGGTCCAAACCATCGTCCACTGTAATAGCTGGATCATTGCAATAACCTCATCACCAGTGACTGCTCCTTCTTCAATCTATTTTAACACATTGACCAGAGGGATTTTTATAAAATATAAGTCACATCTGCTTGTACCTATATTTGAAACCCTCCAATGGCTGCGAAAGCATCCCACATAAAGGCCAAAGCCCTTGTAAAATTTCGTGAAGTCCTAGATGACCCCTCTCCCTAGCCAGTTACCTCCCCAGCCTCATTTTCTCCTTCTCCCTCAACTCCAGCCAAACTGGCTTCCCTGCTATACCTTAGCCATTGCAAGCATTCCTTCATGTCAGGGAAGTACTGATAGCTACTTCTGCCTAGAACAGTCCTCTTCCACATGTCTACATGACTAGCTCTTTCACCCTCTTCAAGATTTTACATACATGTCATCCCCTCAGTGAGACCTTCTTCAGTCGCACCATTTCCATTTTATTCTACCCCTTAAAATATTAGTTCCCTCCCTGCCTTATTTTTCTTCCCACCACTTATCACTTCTAACACAGTACAATTTGCTTATTCTTTTGTTTATTGTTTGTCTTCCCCCACTAGCTACTCCAGGACAAAGTGTTTTTGCCCTTGACAAAACTGTCATAACCTTTGATCTAAAGCCCTTCATGGAAATTTGCAGATGCTCAATAAATGTTTTGTATGGAAATTATACATACCCATCAGTATTAAATGGAATTTCTAATGTCTAACATTTCTTAGGCAAATAACATGAGCTGAAAAGAGAAAATTTATATATTTACATTTAGCTGGACTCAGAGGTTCTTCGTTACCTATTAGAGGCTTTGAAGAAATCATAAAAAAAAGAAATCTTAAAGAATGATATACTAAAGAAACAGTGCTTCCTGAGGTGAAATGTGCCACTATAAAATAGTAAGACAATAAGCAAACGATTTAAAGAAATCCATCAGAACTGTCCTTGTCTCAGGCCATCCATTTCTGTTCCCTTTCAAGTTACCACACCGTGTTCCCATTTCAGCTTTTGGAATTAGATTTATGACTCTCTTGAATATCTTTTAGTACCCCGGCATGATAATTATTTGACCCCCTACTGCCTTTTGGATCTCAAACAAATCCTGATAAATTGCCAGCCTCTTCTCTTACATTTTCAGCCCTTCGGCTTTGTTTTGTCTTTGCCAAGTACCATCTTGCCAAATTGTAATGTGATACACAACAAAGATAATTTTATTTTTGTTTAACAAAGAGAAAGTCTTCTCCACCAGGAGCAGTCATTCTTGTGAAATAGTAGCTAGACATAATCATATGCAATCAGTAATCGAAAGTGTTCAGCTTTCCTATTCCCAAAAATACATTAGTATCATAGAAGAACATGTAAAGGTTTTAAGAACATTATTGTTTGGTAGGTTGACTGGAAATGTTGAAAATGGATCCCAAATTTAGCAATAGGGAACATATAGCAGCAAAATAATACTGACAGCTAACGTTTACTAGGTGTTTTCTATGATCTCAATGATTCCTAAGTGATTTCTTTGTGTTACCTGAGGCTGACATTGTTTTTCACAGAAGAGATAAACAAGCATTGAGAAGTTAAATAACTCACAGAAAATTGCAAAATTGGGACTCAGATCAAGCAATCGGACTCCAGGGCACAGGCTCTTATCTCTTAAGCATATTTAAGAAGTTATGAGGCACAAGTGGAGCATACTTTGAAAATACATGGTTTTTTAAAACTTATTAACACATTCAAAATGTTTACAAAATGGTACGTTTCCATAATAATCTTTTAGACAACACTCAGAGTTTAAAATGTTTTTAAATTCTAAATAATATAGTCGAGACTTATCTTTCATCCATTAAGAATCTATAGAGATTATGATGAAATATTTTGATTTGTATATATTTATTACTTTGCTTCAAAATTGTGCATTTCTTGTACTTATAGAGTTCATAAGCTTTATTTAGCAAAAGTAAATGAGTTTATTGTATAAAATGAAAAAATATATTTATATATTCATTATAAATTTCTCATAAATTGAATTTTCAATACATTTCTGGGGCCACTGAGTTAGGTGAGTCAGAGCAGAACATTTTGTAGCAAAAGAAAATGTATTTTTTGTAGTAAACTTGTCTACTTTTTAAAAATGCTTTCGGGTCATCTCTTTTGGAGACTGTCTTAGTCAGTTCAGGATGGTGTTACAAATTGCCTAGACTGGGTTGTTTATAAGCAACAGAAATTTATGTTTCACAGTACTGAAAGCCGTAAGTTCAAGATCTGCATGCCAACATGGTTAAGTCCTCGTGAGAGCTCTCTTCTAGACTGTAGTCTGCTGACTTCTCATGGTGTTTTCACATGGCAAAAAGAGAGCTAGCTAGCTCTTTGGCCTCTGTTTCATAACAGCACTAATCCTATTCATTAATGTTTCTCCCTTATGACTTAATTATCTCCCAAAGACCCACCTCCAAATACCATCACATTGGAATTAAAGTTTAATCATATGAATTTTGGGGGACACAATGTTCAGTCCATTGCAGAAAGCCATATTTTTATCAAAAGAAATGTATTTTCTTGATTGGAAGCCATTGCTTTGATATGAACAGAAATGAAGAGTATATTTTCTATGACATGAAATGAATAATCCAAGTAGATACATTTGTAATTTTAAATACAGAGCAAAATCAAATACCTACAGGAGCCAAGCAGATATTATCAATGAGATAAAGTTGGCCACATTATAGAGACTATAAAACAAATGTTGTATATAGAATGTACATGATAGGATATATATAAAGAGAGACTAAATATAAAATGCTGTGTGGCTGTGTGTGTCTCATTGATTCATGGTCAGACTGAATGCTTTCCAGCTTCATTAGCTGGAGCCTGATAAAACTTCCACTTTCTGGGAAACTGCCATTTCTCAAGCTTGTATTTGTGTGTGTGTGTGTGTGTGTGTGTGTGTATAAATTAACAAAACAAAAATAAAATTAACACTATATATATAATACAGTGTTAATTTCCAAATTTTTGTAGGATCTCTTGCATGTCATATCATCATATAGAGTTCAAAGCACCATGCTGACACTTCTTGAAATAGTGCTTGACAGTTCTTACAGTTGGAAAATAGCTGTAGGACAACAACTGTTTTTTAACACTTACTCACTGTTTTTCTTTGTGTGTGTGTGTATGTGTGTGTGCTTGTATTGCAGAGAAGGCCAGCAATCGCCAGAACAATGGCAGAAGATGTACGGTAGATGCTCTGGGAATGAAGTCTACCACATTGTTTTGGAAGAGAGTACATTTTTTGCTGAATATGAAGGAAAGAGTTTTACATATGCTTCTTTCCATGCTCACAAAAAGTATGTTTCTGTTTTCAGAATGGAATAAAAATATCTATCAATTAATTGAGCATACCATTTAAACACAATTTTCTAAAATACAACTCATGTTAGTGCTCTTGAGTTTCAAGTATTCTGGAATTTTTGGCATGATTTTGCACCATTAGAACTCTGGCCTCTGGATGGTCTCAAGTTTAGATTGTCAGGAGTAAATTATAATTTAGTAGGACTGTGCACTTTAGCATCTTTTTAAAGTCTCATTTAATATTTTATTCCATTAGGAGTTCCACAAACAAATGAAAATTAATCACCTTTACAGATCTAAAATTTAAAGTACTGATTAAAAATTTAGACAAAGTAATAAAAATGTTTCTAAAAAATATCCATGAAAATAAAATCATCTCTGATGGTGGCATTTGGTTTGGCCAGAGAAATAAGTTAAAAAATAAATGACACTGCCTTCCAGTTCAGACATGGAATATTATTTCTTCCATTTTGAGAAACAATTATTAAGAAATAAAAATATATATATTGTGAAAATAATGTATTATCTATACTAAAATGTATTAATAACCCTTTGCACTCACTTGCTTTTTTCTCAGTTCCTTTATTCTATTCGGGATTTAATTTTTTAAATACCCCAGATTTTACAAAGTGCAGCAGTAGAATAAAAAACCGGAGTTTCTTTTCATACAAACTTATTTATTTGGATTTTTTTTTATATTTCAAGTATTGAAATATAAAAAAATGCATTGATACATTCAAAGAGTAATTTTAATCTCTATAATTTTTCATGGTGTGATATTTTTTGAAACATTCACCCACATGAAGACCTGGTCTACATTCACATGTTTCACAAATATAAATCGTCTCTCTTCTTCCTCCTTTGATTTTTCTGTTAGAACAAACAACACAATCTTTGTGTTGTTTGTTAGGGTGAGGTGTGATTATATGGAGCTTTACATCTAAACGTTGCTCTAAGTTAGTGGATAATAATCTACCCCTGGAAGTTAGTGTACCATCTCTGCATTTACATTTTACTTGTCCTTTCATGCTAACGAAAACAAGAAAAGATACTGGAAAAATAGACAAACCTCTCACCCCCGTGGTGAAAGTACATGTCGAGTGTGGCTGGACACAGGAGCTGTTACCAGTGCTAACCGTGCAAGTCACACTCGACATACGAGTGCAGATGGTTAATATAATATAGTTGTGGGACTTATATCTACTATATTCCACTATCTAATATGCAATGTTCAGGTGATCCCTGACATATAATGCCTTGATTTGTGATTTTTTCTTTACTATACGATGGTATAAACTCAATATACATTCGGTAAAACCTATACTTTGATATCCATACAACCATTCTGTTTTCACTTTTAGTACAGTAGTCAATAAATTGAATTAGATATTTAATGCTGTTACAAAATAAGCTTTGTGTTAGATGATTTTACCTTAGTGTAGACAATAAAAGTGTTCTTAGCATGTTAAGGTGGGTTAGGCTAAACTATGTTGTTGATAGGGTAAGTATATTAAATGCATTTTTTACTTAATATTTTCAACTTATGATGGATTTATTAGGATGTAACTCCATCATAAGTAGAGGAACATCTGTGTTCTACTTTAATTTTAAACTTTATTTTATAATACATTAAGGCATAATGAAGTAAAAATATTCAAGATAATTTGTGTTTGGGAAGAAACCCAAAAAAAGTAGATAAGAATTTTTTTAAATAGCCTATTACATTCAAAGGGTGTTATTTTTCCTAATTAAACTATACACCTATTTAGGACTTTTTAAAAATGTTTTTCTAAAATTCCAAGTAAACCAAATGTGATAGAAACAGTATTAAAAGAAATTCAGGCGTCTTGGTTCTCTCTCTTGTGACCTTGGGTTTCTTTTTTCCTTTCAACCAACAGTTTTAAAACTTTTTTGACCAACATAAGAAATATTGTTTATATATTTTGACCAAAGTAAATGTTTTGTAAATATTTACAAAACAGTAATATTCTTATTATATTGCATGTACCCTGATGTTTTCTATTCTCTTCCATTCTTTTTCAGTAAAATATACATTGATACTGGTCATAATCAACTCAGTTGATTTTACAGCACACTAAGAACATACTTTCTTTTCCTGTAAAAAAAATTAGTCTACCAGTTTTCTTACATATGTAAACTTGAAAAAAGTCTAAATTGCTGAATTACAATTCTTAAACTCTTTTATTTTCTTTTTTAAATTAAGGTTTGGTGTCTGTTTGATTGGTGTTAGGAGGGAGGATAATAAAAACATTTTGCTGAATCCAGGTCCTCGATACATTATGAATTCTACAGACATATGTTTTTATATTAATATTACCAAAGAAGAGAATTCAGCATTTAAGAACCAAGACCAGCAGAGGAAAAGCAATGTGTCAGGCTCATTTTATCATGGACCTTCCAGACTACCTGTACACAGCATAATTGCCAGCATGGGTAAGTATAAACAAGTTTAAAAATATTATTAGTTTATTTCTAAAATAAAAATGAATAATAGATACACTTCAATTGTTATTAAAATTTGAAAGTCAGTTTTTGAAATTCATGTGCTTTTTACAAATTAGGTATGATTAGGTATACAAAGCAAAATTTCTAAGTTGTTAGGTTTATCAAAAAGTAAGATATTATAAAAATGCTTCTGACAGTTATTTTATTTTTCTCATTACACATAAGCACCTTACACTTCTATATTTCTCTTGTAAGTTGTCTGGTTACCAACAGAGGCTATTTCAAATAGTCTTCATTTTTCTCATAATTCTTTTTCTATCTCCATCTCATTCTTACAATTGAGCTTGGCTTCTATGACACAGGAGAAAAGAAAATAGAAAGAAATAGATCTAGACAAATAAGAGTTTTCTTAAAATTTTGCCACTAAGCCACCAAAAATCTACAAAACTTTAGCTTCTGTCACAAGGAAAATATGTCCTTTCCTTTAATAATGTTATTCTAATGCCTTCCCTTACGCTATGGACCCATCCTCTTGTTCCTCCTCAGTGCCTTCACTCTTTAATTCATCCTTATTACCTGACTTTATTTTTCCCCCAAAATCACTGGCTGTTCTCTCTCTCTTTATCTCTCTCTCTCTCTCCATATTTCTCTGCAGACATACACATACACTTTTAAAACTCCTGCCATGACATTTTCACAGAAAAATTTCCCAAATGCATTGTCTTCAGTGGCAGGCTTGAAATCTTATTGTCCCACCAGGTCTCTACCCAGTTCAATCTGACATCTGCAGTCTTATCATTGAAACTATTCGGGCAAGCCCACCACTCCTCTCTTCATCACTCAGTCTAGTGACTATCTTCACAGCATATGACAGTACTGACCATGTTCTCTTGAAACACTCTAGTGCCTTTTGTCTGCATGTGCACATTCACTTTCCCTCTCTGGTCACATCTGCTTTCATGGATTCAGTTGTCCATAAACTGATGATTCCTTTACCTAAATCATTAACTCAAACTTCTCTTTACCACAATATATCCAACTGCTTACTGGTTATTTCTATTTGAGTATGCTGCAGGAAAAAGTAATATAGCATATTCAAATTGAACTAATTTCTTCACCTTCATTCAACATCACTTTAATTTTTTTCTTTTACTAAAAATTAGATGACACCATTATCTTCCAATTTGTAAAGTGACAATTCTGACTTTTCACCAGCCCTCTCTTCTGATACCACATAATTCACCTAATTCTGTTCAATCTGATCAGTAAATAGTCCCTAAAATCATTGAGTTCAGATTGTATATCATAAGGACTGAGAAATAGTGATTGAATTTAACAATGCAATAGTCACTGTTTTAAGAGTTCTTACAATGGAGTGGTGGTGAAGAATGTCAGATAGGAGTGGGTTTGGGAAATAATGGTAGAAGACAAATTAGGAACACTAGTTCTAGACAACTCTTTGTAAGTTTGTAAGCCAGGTGCGGTTTTTTCACGCCTATAATTCTAGCACTCTGGGACACTGAGTTGGGAGCATCACTTGAGCTCAGGAGTTCAAGACTAGCCTGAGCAAGAGCCAGATCCCGTATCTACTAAAAATAGAAAAATTAGCCAGGCACTGTGGTGTATGCCTACAGTCTTAGCTACTTGGGAGGGTGGCTGAGGCAGGAGGATCACTTGAGCCCAGAAGTTTGAGGTTGCAGTGAGCTATGATGCCACCAACTGCACTCTAACTGGGGTGAAAAAGTGAGAGTCTGTCTCTAAATAAATAAAAAGTTTGTGAAAAGGAACAAAGGAATGGCTTGATAGCTGGTGGTAGAAGTAAAAGGGGGTGAGAAAGAAAAATACTTTGGGGATATATTAATAAATAAGAGACTATAATCAGAGACTGTGGTACTTAGGCAAGGAAATGAAAAGATACCTGTTGGTTAAAGGACACTGAAAAGGAAGTAGATTAATACACCATAATTCCAGTGGGGATGAAGAGGGAGAGTGCTGGCAAGAGAGGAGTTATAGATAAGTGTCAGAAAGTGAGACGTAAGAAGTAGAGATTATGTACAGTCAGTAGTAATTACAAAATGCAAGATGTGACCTTGAGAGGGAGTATCTGTGGAGCAGTAGGTGAAAAACCCATAATTAGAGGGAAAGATAAAGAACTGAATATGGAGTATTAGAAGGATCATCTACATGTACAATGAAGCTACCATGAATTAGGACAGACAGTGAGGGGAGACTAATAGTGATACAGGAACTAAACTATCCAGGCATATTCAGTTGCATAGATACAGGTATGGGCAATGTGTAGAGTTCCGTTTTGTCAGGAGTGTGTGGTGGAGCAAAAATATATCAAGGGAGCCAAGGATATATGCAAGAAAACAATCATAGTGCTCTAAGTGGAATTTAAGATAGGTAAGAAGAGAAGAGACAACATCAAGGGAGTGAGGGAGACAATGATAAGTTGGTGTCATCAGTAGAATTTAAGTTACAGTAGGTAAAACCATAGCTAAAATTGAGAAATTAGTAGGAGTGACCTGAAAAAACAGGAAATAGTGATGGTCAAAGGGTGAGTGCATGACATGAGTAAATGCAGCACTGTCATTATTGACTATAACAACATCTAAAAGATGACAGTGGAAGTGAAGGGCTGAGAAAAGGTGAAAAACAATTTCTTCAGTGAATTCAACGAACTGAGAGGTCAGAGTGTGGGAAGGTTCAGCAGGTTGTATTTTGAAAACACTGGATGAGGTAAGAATCATGTCTTCCAAGATTCATGGGTTGAAGTCCTAGCCCCCAGTGCCTCAGAATGTGACTTTATTTGAAGATAGGGTTTTTTCAATATGACTAGTATACTTGTGAGAAAAGGAAATTTGGACACTGACATGCATAGAAGTAAGGTGATGTAAAGAGACACGGGAAGAAAACAGCTGTCTACAAGCCAAGGAGTGAGGCCTGGAGCAGATCCTTCCCTCTCAGCCCTCAAAGGAAGCAACCCTGCCCACAGCTCAATTTTTTACCTTTATCCTCCAGAACTGTGGAGGCAATAAATTACTGTTAAGACACCCAGTTTGTAGTATTTTGTTCCAGCAGCCCTAGCAAATGTACACAAACAGTATTGGAGAAACTGACCAGAATCATTAAGAAATAAGTAGAATGATCAGGGTTTATGAGCAATCAAAATAATGAAAGATAGCGGGCCATGTAGTCGGAAGACATGATACAAAGCTGGGATGTTTACGGAAGATGAAGGGAAAATGATCTGAAAGAGGCAGTACCACCACTGAGGTTATTGACCCACCTCTAAAACACAGCCACCACTTTAGAGGGTTGCAAGGGAAGACCTCAAGGAGGATTCAGCTTTTATTAGGGAAAGGAAGGCTTCAAAGAAGAGCTTGTTTCTGTAACTGCATTTTCAATCGTGTCTTCCCTGCTGAATTCTGACTTTCTCATGATTGTATGCCAATGCTCAGCCTGGTGCCAGATATTAATGTTGGGGGAATAATTGAGAAGTGATGAAAAAAATGAATCCATGTATATAGGGCTCTTTCAAGAAGTTTGCCTGTGTTAGGCAGAAAAATGATAAAGAAGTAGTTGGAGGTGATATAGCATCAAATATATTGGGGAGAAGGTGATGAAAAGATCACAATTCCTTAGGACGTAGAAGGGAACATGATCCACAGCACAAGAATAAGGATTAGTTTTACATAAAGGAAGGTATGTCTGTTTCCTTGTAAATAGAAATGAGGGAAGAAATGTTTGATGAAGCTCTCACGTGTTTGAACAGGGACTTGAAAGAGTTTTTCTATAATAACTTCGCTTTTCTCTCTGAAGTAGATAACATGGTCAAGTGCAGAGAATAAAGGTAGTAAATACCAGTTTGTGTTCACAGCATTAGGGTGCAAATCATATCAAATGGCTTTCCTTTGTTTTTTATAAATCAAATTTATAAAATTTAAATAAATCAAATCTACTCACTTGCTTAACTGTTTATTAAACTTTCCACTCTAGGAACCCGTCTTCCCCACCAAACATGGATTGGATTATACATTAATCCTGTGTTTATGATGCTAAAATTAGGAAAGAGGGGATGCATCCGCAGTGTCTGACGGCAGCCTTCATTACTTCTGCTCAGATGTTGGAACTGCTGAGTGCTGGTCCCCACATCTTTCTTAGGCAGAGCTGTTTCAAACAGACTCACGAATGTCCCTTCACAGAATACTCTCTGAAGCCTACAGAATGTGTCTGCAGGCTACCATCCCCCTCACAGTACTCAGAGCATGTATATGAAGAGGTACCTGCCTCTGAAACTTACCCTCAAATTTATTCTGATTGTGAGGAATACCGACATATTCTCACCAATCTTGTCTCTACCAACTCTCACACTCAGAAGCACTCTCCTTAAATCCTTTCCTCTGAGAAGACTTTTAATTCTCCTGAAAAGATTTTTAGACATCAGTTTCTGACCTCTGTTTATGATACAAGAAGAAAGATGCTAAAATCCGTTAGCTTTTCTCCCCCTTAAAAGTGATGCTGCTATGAGGAAGAAGGTTGTAAAGTTAGAGGTTTGAGGGAAGTAAACTTTTAAATGCAATCATTGCCCCACATATTGACGTTTTTGATCAAAAATGAATGGTATGGGCCGGGCGCGCTGGCTCACGCCTGTAATCCTGGCACTCTGGGAGGCTGAGGCGGGTGGATTGCTCGAAGTAAGGAGTTCAAGACCAGCCTGAGCAAGAGCGAGACCCCGTCTCTACTATAAATAGAAACAAATTAATTGGCCAACTGATATATAGAAAAAATTAGCCGGGCATGGTGGCGCATGCCTGTAGTCCCAGCTGCTCGGGAGGCTGAGGCAGCAGGATTGCTTGAGCCCAGGAGATTGAGGTTGCTGTGAGCTAGGCTGACACCATGACACTCACTCTAGCCTGGGCAATAAAGTGAGACTCTGTCTCAAAAAAAAAAAAAAAAAAAAAATGAATGGTATAGATGATGGTGGTCCCATAATGTTTTAATTTTTTACTGTACCTTTTCTATCTTTAGATATGTTTAGATACACAAATACTTACAATTGTGTTACAGTTGCCTACAGTATTCAGTACAGTAATGTTTGCTGTATAAGTTTGTAGTCTTGGGCAGTAGACCACATCATATAGCCTAGGTGTTTAGTAGGATACACCATCCAGTTCTGTGTTAAGTGACTCTATGATCTTTGTACAATGATGAAATCACCTAATGATGCATTTCTCAGAATGTGTCCCCTTTGTTAAGCAATGCATGGCTCTAGTTCCTTTAAAAAATGGGACAAAGTGAAGACTAAGGACTTTTAGAAGTCCTTTTAGGATGGCCAGGTTTCACTGAGTGCATAAGTGTACTGACTGATCATAAAATATGATGGTATTCATTGGGTACGTTGTATTGTTTTCTCTAGAAGGGGAGAGACAGTAATTTATAATAAAATTATGTTTCAATTAATATTTAAATTCCAATAAAAATCACACAGGAAATTGTTTCTTCAGCTTACTATTCCTTGAATAAGCCGAGTGTTCAATAGCTTCAAGTTGTTTGTGTTTCCTGTTCTTACTCTCTCTGGGTACTCCTGTGTCTTTGAGTGATCTTTACTGTCCTTCAGGTCAAAAACAAAATGTCACAATTTCACAGTGGCCTTCTTTCCCACCTAATAAAAAGTCTATTTCTCCCACTGCCCTCCAATCTTAATTGTTTTTGTATCACATCATTCTGCTTTTTTTTCCCTGCATGCTATTTATCATTATCTAAAATTATCTTATTCATTTATTTATCTACCCCTGGTTATTTTAAAGATAAAATCCATATGTGTACAAACTTTGTTTTTCTTCTTCCCTACATGGTTCAAGTGCCTAGATACTACTCCCATTTGTGGCACTCAATAAATATTCATTTAATAAAAGAATAAACATAAAATTCTGATATAAAAATCAATAAAAAGGTAGCTCAATAGAAAAAGAGGGAAAGGCATAATGAGGAATTTACAAAATTGAAATGATCAACAAAAAATTTAAATTTTAAAGAAACATAACTTCAAACTACAAGGTATACTTTTTTATTTTAAATACGTATGTACTTCAGGATTTCACAAATCTTACGGTTTATGCTGTACAGAAACTCTCTGCGAATACACTTTTGTACAAATACAGAATTTCTTATCCATATGAAAAAGAAATAATTAGCTTACAGAACTAAAGGCTAAAAATATATATATTTCCTTGTTATACTGATTGTATTTCATTTAACTTTCATCATTAAATGATCAATATGTCATATAGTTGGCAAATTCCTTGATGAATTTTCATATTTCATTGTTTTAGGTACTGTGGCTATAGACTTGCAAGATACAAGCTGTAGATCAGCCAGTGGCCCTACCCTGACTCTTCCTACAGAGGGAAGCAAAGAAATAAGAAGACCTAGCATTGCTCCTGTTTTAGAGGTTGCAGATACATCATCAATTCAGACATGTGATCTTTTAAGTGATCAATCAGAAGATGAAACTACACCAGATGAAGAAATTTCCTCAAACTTAGAGTATGTTCATTTCCTCTAAATAGGTGTAAGATTACTGGGTTTTGTGCTACTGTCCTTAAGTAATGTCTTTAGATACCTTACCAATAGGTAAGGAGTAATGTTCTTACCTTCCTGACATCCTAGAATTATTCCCACATATTTCTACCAAACAGAAATATCTCTCTTGACTACAGAGCATTTTAAGCCCTCAAGTTTCTGGCTTCAATGTATATTAGGTTATTAAGTATGGAATGTTCGATTTCCTTAAGTACTAAGTTTGACAGTTGACATCTCTGACATTTCACTTTGACACTTCTTGTTTTATTTTAATTGGAAAGGTACATCCTCAGTCTTGCAAATGCACATTTTGGTTTGTGATTATCTTTCAAAAATTTTTAGAGCAATTTTTATGAAACCATAGATAAATTAAGAATTTGTGTTATTTTCAAATATGAGTTCCATCATGGAACCAATGCAGTGCAGACAGCTCCAAATATCAACAAAGAGTTTGGGAAGGATGTGGCTAATGAACACACAGTATGTTGATGGTTTCAGAAGTTCCATTCCAGTGATTTTAACCTTGAAAAATGAGCCACATGGGTGACCTGAGACCAAGGTTGATAATGATGAGCTGAAAGCTATAGTGGAAGCTAATCCATCTCAATCTGTGCGTGAATTAGCAGCAAGGTTGGATGTTACTATTGCATCAATATGGGACCACTTGAAACAAATCAGCAAGGTAAAGAAGCTGGATAGATGTGTACTGCATGAATTAAATGAGCATTAGAAGAGAAATAGTATTGAAGCTTGACTTTTTTTGCTGTCATGATATTAAAGGAAAACCATTTCTACACTGTATTGTTACATGTGATGAAAAAATGGATTCTTTTTGACAATCACAAGCATTCAGCACAGTGGTTGGATAAAGATGAAGTACCTAAACACAGTCCAAAACCAAATATTCATCAAAAAAAAGCTAATGGTGTCTGTTTGGTGGTCCAGCGCTGATATTATCTACTATACCTTCGGGAAACCTGATCAGTTGATTACAATGGATGCCTACTGCAACCAATTGGGCAAAATGAGAGGATGCTTGTGATGAAGCAGCCGAGATTGGTCAGTATTGACAGGCCAGTCCTCTTGCAATAAATACCACATGTCACAGAAAACAAGGCTGCTCAAACTATAGAAGCTGCACTTGGAAACTCTCTGTCATCTACCTTATTCACCAGACCTTACACCAAATTGCTACAACTTCTTCCAGACTTTGGACCACTTCCTGCAAGGACAAATATTTAATTCTCAACAAGCTGTAAAAAAAGCCTTTCACGATTTCATCACTACTCATTCTCCAGGCTTATTTGTGCTGACATAAGCAAGCTACCATTAAGATGACAAAACTGCGTCGACAGTTTAGGCACATACTTTGATCAATTGTATACTTCTTATTGGAGACATAATAAACTACACTTTTAATTCAAAATCAGACATTTTATATTTAATGACCTAATATTTTTCAACCTCATTTTTCTCTAAATTATCTTTTATTCTTAAAGAAAAGAAAAACATATAAGACAACATTCGCAGGACATAAACTTCATTTTTATAATTCTATGTGTTTTTGTTATAATGTACTTTCTACTTTTAATTTCTTTTATTCCACATCCACATTGAAGTCAATCAGTTATCCTAGGACATGTAAATGCAGTCTCCTCCATTAAGCTTTCCTTGCTTATCTCAACTTTTACAGTCTTTTTCAGACAGTGTGCATCAATAACATTGTAAATGCATGAATAAAAGAAGTACTATCTCCTTAATCTATATAGTACTAGTCATATTTTAGCCTACAGTAGAGTTTGTTTACATGTCTAATTCCACATATTAAATTGCCATGTTTTGAGGAAACCACAGCAGTCCACAGCCTTGACTATGCAGTTAGAAAAACTTGGTTTTCTGTGCCAGTTCCACCATATACTGGTTGTGGGCAAGTGACTTTGATTAAACAATCTGGCCTATAATTTCTTTACTTGTAAACTGTGTGTAATTAGTACTTCATAGCATTATATGATGATTAATTGAGATAATGAACAAAAAAAGCTCATGATGAAACAGTATTTTGTGCAGAGTAAGTATTTGATTAGTATTAATTAATCTTACTAGTAGTACTTGTAGTAGTGGCATTGGTAACATCATTTCCTAGTGTTTCTACCAATATCTTTTATATAAGTTCAATTAATATTGAATTGAACTAAAATAAACAGAAATATCATTGAAACTTGGAAAGATCCTCTTTTTTAATGTTTCTTACTTTTTTTTTTTTTTTTTTTTTTTGAGACAGAGTCTCACTTTGTTGCCTGGACTAGAGTGCCGTGGGGTCAGCCTAGTTCACAGCAACCTCAAATTCCTGGGCTCAAGCAATCCTGCCTCAGCCTCCCGAGTAGCTGGGACTACGGGCATGTACCACCATGCCCGGCTGGTTTTTTCTATATATTTTTAGCTGTTCAAGTAATTTCTTTTTATTTTTAGTAGAGATGGGGGTCTCACTCTTGTCAGGCTGGTCTTGAACTCCTGAGCTCAAATGATCCACCCGCCTCGGCCTCCCAGAGTGCTAGAATTACAAGTGTGCGCCATTGTGCCCGGCCTCTCACTTTTTTTTTTCTTTTATTGTAAGAAACTTTGATGTATCTTCAGGATAAAATTCACTCTCCAGGAAAGTAGTGGTCTGTGTACTCAAATATATTTGGAATCCAGGATGGGAACAAGAAGAGGTTTGGCAACCAGTATCTTTCCAGGAAGCAGTGTTTTGTGGTGTGATTGAAATTCTTTCTTTAGACTTCTTAAAAAAATGAGAAGTAGAAATTTTTATTTCTAGAAAAATGAAAGAGATGTTAAAGTAATTGTGGAGATTATCAACTTCTAAACTTATAAAACTTTACCCTCTAATTTTATCTGTATTTTACCTCTCAGCCAATGATGTCTATAAAACAGTTTCAACTAGGTATGAAATGTCATGATTAAGCTGGTAAATTTATTAAAAATCAAGAGCTTTTCTTTGGATAAAGGAATATTCTCTTTACTAGATTTTCCTTTATTTCCTATTTATCATTTATGCTGTTACTTTTTAGAAGTTCCATTTTGAACGTCAGTGAAGCCAAAATGTGTAGGTGGCTATTTTTCAAAAGTCAGCAAACAAACAGAATGTCTTTGATAATGCTTTAAGCATGATTTCAAAAAGGCAACAAATTTCTCTGTTTTTAACTAACTCAGTCATTTGTTTCCTTTTGGTTATGCCTTTATGACTAACAAATATTGATTGAGTGAATCATATAAATGCATTTGCTTTAAATGCATTTTGTAAAAATTAACATTAATATTTGTTAAAAAGATATCCAAATCTTCTAAGCTGAGGGCTAGCAAGCTTTTTCTAGAGAAGAACAACTAGTAAATATTCTGTGCTTTCTGGTTCCTATTGCAACTACTCAACTCTGTTTTTGAAGTACAAAAGCACTCAAACACAATACATAAATGAATGAGTATGGCTGTATTCCAATAAAGCTTTATTTATGGATTCTGAAATTTGCACTTTGTATGATTTTCACTTGACATGATATATTCTTTTGACTTTTTTCAACTATTTAAAAATATAAAAACAATCCTTAATTTGCAAAACCACGTGGCGGGCCAGATTTGTTCCCTGTACTATAATTTACCTACCTCTATTCTAAACTCTTTCTACCAAAATATAATTGCAGCACAGAGTTACTGATTATAACTTTATCAAAGCAGAGGAATTTGGCCATATCTTAATTTCCCCAATTTGCGTGCCTTATCCAAGGGTAATATTTTATATTATTTTGCAGGTATGCTAAAGGCTACCCACCTTACTCTCCATACATAGGAAGTTCGCCCACTTTTTGTCATCTCCTTCACGAAAAAGTGCCATTTTGTTGCTTAAGATTAGACAAGGTAAGCGCACGTTGCTCTTGTTCTTTCCAAGAATAAAACTATAGCATCATGTTGTCTGATTTATTCTGTACCAGTATCAGCAAGCTAGTGTCCTGGTCAAGGTTATCCACGATAAATTCTCAGTTCTCCTCTTGCTTTTTCCTTACTAATTGACCTACTTCTAAGTCCCCTTAGGGAAAGTTGTCTTGTTTTTCTTTTATATATCCCATAGATATTAAAGTTCTTGATGATCCAAACAGTAACTCATCACTATTCTCCTTCCTTGACACTTCTTTCTGAGTGACCTTATTTCTTCATATGGCTTCAGATTCTGACCGTATTAATCAATAATTCTCCAAGCACCCTTCCAATTAAGACTTATCCTTGTTCTTTACCTTTTCCTTTCTTTCCTATTACATGTATTTAAATACAGCATTTTTACTAAAATATACTTAATGGGTATTATCTTTTCAAATGTGAATGTAATTCCATTAAGTGGAAAATTTTAGTTTTTTTAACTGCACTAAAGTTTAACCAAATGTTTTTCTCTTCTACTGAATTAATCAAATGCATTAACCAATCATGTTTTCAAAGAGGAAAAAAGAGTTACCCAAATCTCCACCCTATGAACCTTTAACATCGAAAGTCTCCCGAAATCATTTTAGCCAAATGTGCCCATTGAAATGGACAATTACGTCTCTCAAGGCCTTATTTTGCAGTCCTTATATTGCTGTAATACTATGAAGCATTTTATATTTCTGGCCTGCTGTGTATCTTCAGTAACATTAATAAATCCTAAATTTTAGGACCTTTCACTGGCATTGACCCCTTCCAATAATTTTTCTATGACTAATTTTTATTTGTAATATTTTTATTGTGTTCCTTAAAAAGGATTCCTAAAATAACATATGCTTCAGGCACCACAAAACCTGGATTCACTTCTGGTTACATTTACTTCTTTTAATACTCAGTTAAAGAAGAAAAGAAACATTAGGAGATATTAGGATACCAAAGAATAGAAAGGATTTATCTCCAAGCAGGGAATCCAATTCAACGGAAAGGCTAAGCTTTTAGAGATCAGGATTGGTGGAGGAGCAATGGAGTCTCTTTTAAATGTCAAAACTATTAACTATCTCTTTACCATATTAAGAAAACAAAGTTTCTGGGCCTTGCTGATTAACTGGTAATATCTGGGATTATTGGCTATTTAGGTAGAGTTATGCTGGTAGGAGGTGGTCTGCTATGTAAAAGAGTGCCCTCTTTGCAATTAAGGGATGGGATTACACAGCTGCCCCTACTTTGTGAAATGAGTGAGTTGAGATCATGTTGTCCGATTTATTCTGTACCAGTATCAGCAAGCTAGTGTCCTGGGGTCAAGGTTTATCCACACTAAATTCTCAGTTCTCTTCTTGCTTTTTCCTTACTAATTGACCTACTTCTAAGTCCCCTTGGGGAAAGTTGTCTTGTTTTTCTTTTATATATCCCATAGATATTAAAGTTCTTGATGATCCAAACATTAATTCATCACTATTCTCCTTCCTTGACACTTCTTTCTGAGTGACCTTATTTCTTCATATGGCTTCAGATTCTGACCCTATTAATCAATAATTCTCCAATCACCCTTCCAATGAAGACTTATCCTTGTTCTTTATCTTTTCCTTTCTTTCCTGTTGCTTAGACTTTCCTTCTGGATTCATTTTCCTACTTCCTATATTGCAACCTTTAGAAATTCTGTTACATATATTCTGCTGGTGACAATTTCTGTTATGCTTTTCCTTGAAATGTTCTTATTTTGCCCTCATTCTTGAAAGACAATTTTGCTTGATGTCCAATTCTAGGCTATTAGGGTTTTTTTTCTTTGTTTCATCACTTTAAGGACTTAATTTACTGCCTCTGTGCTCTAAGTTACTGTTGAAAAATCAGCCATCATTCTAATTGTTGTTTTGTAGGTCGCCTCTGTCTTTTGTTTATTCTCTTTTCTTGAGAACTTCTCATTGTCTTGGTTGTTCTGCACTTTTCTTATGATGTGTATGACTGTTCATTTCTCTTTATTTATTTGGATTGGGCTTCATTGAGTTTCCTGAACTGGAGGATTTGCGTTTTTCATCACTTTTCAAAAATTCTCAGTCAACATTTACTTGAATGAGGCTTCTTTCTGATTCTTTCTTATCTTTTTTTCAGGTATTCTGGTTAAATATATATTTGATATTCTCACAATGTATTACAAGTCTTAATTTTTTCATACTAGTTCTGTTCCTTTTCTTTTATGCCTTTCATTTTGGGTAATATCTTTAATTCTGTCTTGTAGTTGGTTCCCTCAACTGTATCTTATGTGTGATTTAAATAATCTTTTGAATTATACTGTTTAGTTCTAGAAGATATGGAAACAATATAGATAGTACTTTTAGCATATACTTCCTAGATGTTATTTTAAATAACCTCTTTTCTTGCTCCTACTTTAAATACTTTCTTTTATTTCTTTAATGTATTAAACATGCTCATCTTATATTCTGAATCTAATAACAACAAAATCTATAGTCCTTGTAGGTCTAATTATTTTGTTATGATTGTCTTTGTTGGTGCCTTGTTCCTCCCTGTATTTTGTAATTTTTTATTAAGGAATAATGACAAAGGATATTCTAGGGATGATGAATATTCCAGAGAATTAGCTAATCTTAGACCAAATAAATAAATTAAAATTATCTTTACGTCTACAGAGAGACGTAAAGGTAAAAGAGCAGAACATCAAAGCAGATAATTAAACTTAAAATAATCTTGGGATACTAATGTTAACTATAGAAAATTCTAGACCCCAGGAAACAGCAAAATACTCTAAGGCTAACAATTAGCTGTAGTAAAGTTTTGTTTTTGTTTCTGTTGTTGTTTGATTAATTTAGTTTTGAATATTTGCATTATCTTGCCAGGTCAGCTATGCCTTTAGACAGGGTTTTCCCTTTAAAGTTTTGTTTTGTTTTGTTTTAATTCATCACTTTAGGTATTCAGTATTGGGACTGTTCCTGAGGCTATCTTATTATAAGATAAGATAATATTATCCTTAGGGGGGTAAGCGCCATCATGAATTCTAGCAGCATAGTTTTGTTTTTGTACTTCATATTAATGGAATTATATAGTACATACTCGTTTATGTCTGGCTTCTTTGGTACATTATGTTTATTACTTTTATCCATTTTATTGCAAGTAGTCATGAAGCATTTGCTTTCATTACTGTATAGCATCCCATTATGTGACTTTGCCACAATAGAGATATTCATTCTAGTGTTCATGAAACTACCCTAGCATTTGAGTAGCATCCTACCTTTATCTGCTTAGTGTTTTAGTATAGACTTACAAGAGTACATGTCTTTTAGTGAACATATGTAAGCATTTCTGTTTGGTTTATACCTCAGAGTGGAATTGCTAGGTCCTAGGGTATGGTGAGCCTCAGAACTGCCAGTTTTTCAAAGTGTTCATACCATTTTACATTCATATCAACAAAAGCATTAGGTTGTTCTACATCTATGCCCAACACCTGGTATCTTTTTTTTTTTTTCATTTTAGCCATTCTGGGGAACGTGTAGTGGTATGCCATTGTGGGTCTAATTTTACATATCTGATGATTAATGAAGTGTAGAGCAACTTAACATATTTATTGGCCATTAGGCCATCTTTCTTTGAAAATGTTCATCTTATATTTTTCTGGTGGTTTTTTGCTTACTATTCTAGGAATCCTGTGTTGGATGTGTATATTGTTGGGTTGTTGTAATGTATCTTTAACTCTATTAGCTACCTTCTCATTCATGGCTTTGGATGACTTAAAAAGTTCTTAGTTTTAATATGATCTAATTAGATTTTTCCCCTTGTATGAAAAAAAAAATATTATCCTTACGGTGGAAAGCCTGTTAAGTGCTCATGGTGCAGGTGGAAAAAGATTTCTCATGCAAAGATTGAGATATAGAAGTAAAAAAATGTTTATTTTATCTTCTCGGAAGGACAGAGAGAGTGTGAAAGTGAAAGAGTGAGGGAAAAGAGGGTGAGGAGGAAAGAGAACACGGAGATGGCTTGGCATCCCAAAGGAAGAGAGGGGATGCAAAAGTGAGGCCAAGTGGCTCGCTGATTTTAAGGGTGAGGAAGAGGAAAAAAAAATAATGATGGCTGTAAATTGATAACAAAAGCAGCAGTAGGTAGATAACAAAAATGCAAGGATGTCAAAGTGTAAGAGTTGGCTCTCCTGTCTTTTCTTGAGGAAGGGATTATCACAGGAGATGTGACTCTGTCTGGAGGTATGGTTGATGGTTGGAATTTGTTTTCCTGCCATTTACCCAGGAACTCTGTAAAAGCGGATTCTCAAAAAACAATTTTGAAAGAGAGAGATTTCCATCTCTTTACCATCCATTCAGCTCTCTTCATAAATTCTGCAAAACAGATCTCCTGCAGGTGCCTTCCTGTTAGTGAGAGAACTCATAGGCTTGATCTTTATCTGTTACTGGGAAATCTGGGGGATTAGGTATTTTCCTAGTACTTTTGCAAGACTGCTCCTTTCAATTATAATATTATGTTTAAATGAAAGTCAGAGACAGATAATTTTTAAATATAGATTCCCAAATGTCATCTAGCAGCAAGTTTTAGTTTACAGTAGAACATGCGCACACATACATTGCTGCTTCTTTCAATACCAAGATGCTTAGCCACAATTCATTTGCCTTGTCCACGTACCTTTTTATTTTCTGGTGCAGGTTGGAGAACTGGGCACAGAAAAATGTTAACTATTTTAAAATTTTTTAGAAAATTAGAATTTACTGTATTAGATTAAATTTACATTTCCATATATCCTAATTTTTTTCACCAAATTTTAGTGGAGTATAAAAATAGCATTTCTTTGTATAATTTTTCTTCCCTAGAGTTGCCAGCATAACTACTATGAGGACGCAAAAGCCTATGGATTCAAAAATAAACTAATTATAGTTGCAGCTGAAACAGCTGGAAATGGACTATATAATTTTATTGTTCCTCTCAGGGCATATTATAGACCAAAGAAAGAACTTAATCCCATAGTACTACTATTGGATAACCCGTAAGTATATTTTAAAATACAGAAACAAGATAAACAGTTTTTAATATTATGTTATGTGCATCAAAAATAATTAATTTGCTGGTAGTATTTTAAATCAGATACATTATGGTACATGATTTATCGGGAGATATATTCTGTGCTATGATTAAAAAAATGATTCAATATGGTTATATTTCACAAATATCACTTAAAACATCACTGGAATATTCTGTGAATTTTTTTAAAACTCTGTTGCAAATGGTCATATACTCACAATTCCACAGGAAACAGGCCACTGAAATAATTACTGTAATTTTCCTTAAATTAATCAACTAGCCTGAAAAATATCTGCCAAAACTGGGTAATTTCGTTATCTTTCTAAAGAACCATTAATTATCCGAGAAGCATTTACTGATCCATTTTTAGGTTATACTATAAAGCATCATAAATTATTATGATTGTACTGCTGTTAAAACATACATTCTATAACATAACATAAGCAATGCTTTACCATGTTCATTTATTTTGGAAATACTGGATTGGTTTACTTTTGCCAAATTAAGACTACTTAAGCATTTCAAAATTCTTATGCATATATAAATATAGGTTACTGAATGTAATGGTCAAAGCCATTTTATTCTAAAGTTATAATATTCCTCTCAGTGACTGAAAATTAGTAGCAGATGGTCCTTAGATTAATACCATATTTTAGGATTCTCTCACTCCCCTCATCCATTCCAATGTGATGCAAATTTCAGGATGAACCAAATGAGGCCAAATTATACTGCCTTTCCTCTGCCTTTCAAATTTATCAAAAGAAGTTTCTCATAACAGAGAGATTTCCCCAATATATTATAACTTTATGATATTGTTTTTTCTGAATATACCAATACCAAAATACTCATTTATGCATCTCTGTTAACATCATCATTATAGAGATAACATTAAAAATTGGAGAATTTTCAGGTATGATGACCCAATAGCTTTTTCCAGACCTATTTGGCATCTAAGGAAAGGTGAGGCATATTTAGGGTAAATGTAGGAGAACAGAAACTTGGACTTAATGCCAGAAGAAATTAAAGCTTACTAAAATAAATGTTAGGATAATAAAAGTTTGGATGCAGGATGACTATGACAATAGAGTGGTTGGAAATCACCTCCAAGGTCTTTTGAACATAGCCTTCATTCTGAAGCTTCTCTGGTAGGAAGCTCCACAGAACTGGCTGAGCTGCAACATCAGAGATGCTCAACTATGTGACTTCGAATGTGTGAGCTTTTGGCTCTTTTTGCTTATGATGTGTCTACTTCTCTCAAAATAGAGCTTAAAGACAGGGGCATTTACAAACTGATTGCCTTAGAGAGGGCATTTACAAACTGATTGCCATCTTGCATGGTTTGGATCAAAATGGATCACCAGATTATAAAGAGGAAGACAGGAAGAAGCTTGAGAAAGAAGTTGAACTGTGTTAGTATCCCTCTGTTAGGGCTAAAGACAAAACTGTCCTTTCCCCTTCTTTACATTATTTCAAGATAAAATTTGTTGCCCTGATGTGTAAACTTCCACCCAAAAAACTCCAATCCCCATAATTGGGACTGGAATTTACCCTATGGACAGAGATGAACTCCTCTTTTTCAGTTTCCAATCTTGCTAAGTAATCTCCTCTCAGAATCACTAATTCCTCCTTTTCACCTGATTATCATGTCAAGTAAGTGGCAGTCACTCAAGAGACCTTTACTTGCAGAGTTTATGTAGATTTCAGAGTAACTGCAAACAAATCAGTTCCTTTCTGTTTAGTTTTGAATAAACAAGTTGCCAAAATGCCTGATTACTGAATGATTGATTGATGTGTATATTAGGAGTATAAAATCAAATGGTCATACAGTCCTATTTCCTGAATTTGATCAATCACAGAATAATCTAAAGACTTTACTTATCTTTATTAGTGACAAATAGTCAGTATTTCTGTAAAATATAAATATGTCTTTTCATACAATATTTTATCTGAGATCATAAAGATGGTTCCATAAAAAATATTCTTTACCTCCAATATCTGTTCATAATTATAATAACTGTTGAGCATTTGCTACATTTCAATTATCATACTACACGATTTATTTGCATTTTATTCCCGTAAGAAACATATTTATATTGCATACTGATGATTTAGCCCCAGAGAGATATATGAAGCAAGTTTAAAATCTCAAAGCTTACAAATTACAATGTAAACATTTAAATAAACTGAAGGCTGTGCGACTTGTGTACACCACTGTTTCTTATTTTACAGATGATGTAAAAAAGACCCAAAGAAAGTAAGTGACCTTTTCCAAGGTCAATTCTTAGATTAGAGCTTTCTGTTTAATTCCTAGTTTATTGTTCTTTCAACTATATGATCTTACATAGTTTACAGGCTTTTAATATATGAAAAAAATTGTTTCTCAATTCTTTTTAAAACAAGTGTATTTTAACTTCAGATTATTTTTGCATTAAAAATTCCCTTTGCCTTCTTAATGGTTTACATTTTGGAATCCAGCTATTCACATGATATCATTGTAAAATAATTCTTGTAGGGTTTGACTTTATTTCAAAGAATTAGGTTGAAAGTGCATGTTGTTAAACCTGTTAGCTTCCTGTGTACTTCCCGAAAGTGATGTCTAACATTTTTATTTGTTGTGTTCTGTTCCTTTGGTTAAGAATGAGGAAACAAAAACTAAACACCAATAAATAATGTTCCAGGAAGTTTTATGCAATCTTTTTTTTTTCTTTTTAAATAATAAGATGCCTGTTGCTCTAAAATAGCAAGTATTTTGCAATCTATCCTGTAATATTACAAAGGAATATGATGTTTTCTTCTTTAAACTATTTCCATGTTATAAGAATGTGTACAATGATGATTATATACACCTCTACAATTATTAGTTTTGAGGGATTTGACTTTATTTTAAATTCATATAAGCATTGCTAAAAATAATATTCAGTATGTGGCTATTTAAAAAATTTAGTTGAAAGACCTATTTATTCAATAAAACAAATAAATAATAACAGATTTCTTAAGTATGGAATTTTAAAATGTAATTTAAATTTATAATGTTCACACATATAATATCCCAAAATAAGTGTTCATAATGTTTCCAAATAGAAAGCCTTTTAGATCTCATATGGTAATTAAATAAAAGTCATATTGAAAAACATCTTTTACTTGGTACTGGTTTATTAGAGCTGGTGTCAATTCTGATTGGTTGGCCATCTGTTCTGTTTGGTCTGTTGTGCCATACTGATTTTAAATATTTTGATTACCACTCCAACCTTAAAGGTTATCTAGTCATTTTATAACAGCATTTCATATAAGAAATAGAAAAAGCAAGTCAAAAGCTGTAATACATTACCCAAAGCTACACAAAGATGAGGATGAAGTACAAGATCCAGACTTATGCTCTTAATTTTTTTTCCAAAGTCTTGTTTACACTATCCATTTATTAAATCAATCTTCTTTTCACATATGGTGTCAAGTAATCTTCAGTTTATTTTAAAGGTAGTGATAAAATGCCTGATATGTCAGTGTTTCTAATATAAAAAATTTAAACTTTGGACTCATACAAATCCGAGATAAGATCAAAGCTTACCCTCTTGATAAGCCTGTTACATGCTATTAAATCTCTTTAAGCCTCATTCTTCTGATTAATAAGTTGGTTAAAACATTTATCTTAAGTTATTGTGAGATTATGTGCTATAATGTATATAAAGTACCAGTGCAAATCTGATTCATAAAAGGTAGACAGGAAATGTCAGTTCCTCTTCTGCCAATCACAAAAATATCACTGTCTCTATTTGAATTGATGGGTGGATTTGTGTGAGAACCCAATTAATAAAAAAGAACATTTATTTTAAGTAGTTAAAATTGAACTAATTATATTTTTAGCAAGAAATAAACTCCTTAAAAGTGAAATTATGAAATGTTAAGAAAATAAACTGCTCATATAGGCATACTACTCTCATTTCTTGAACTTGAAATAAAGAAATTAAATTTATTATGGTTATTAGTTAAATGAGAAAGAAATAATGGTCTCAAATTTTAAAAATCCATACAAATTTATAAATCTTTTTTGCTTCCCCCAAATCATTAACTGTTTAATATTTGTATGTAATGGCCATTTTTATTATGAGAGTTTTTATAAGGAAATGAGGTTTTAGACTCATAAGTAGTCATCTTTTTTAATAAAATTGCAGGTAGGACTCATTAATGAATGTGCTCCTTTTTCTTCTGTTTACTAACATTAGTTACTTTTTTGTGTTTGTTAAATTTTTATTTTGTTACTAGTTAGTTTCAGCCTGTGTTGTTTTGTTTTGCTCTATGCGTATTTATTCCACCCTGGATCTATTTTTCTGTCATGTTTATCTTTCTCATTGATTTGAAATACTTCTTTATATATTAAGCAACTCTGATCTATAAATTTTATATAAGTAACAATTTTGACATTTATTTCGTATATGTTAAAATGTCTGTGATGAGCTATATGGTTAAACCTGTCAACTATTTTCACCACTTTTCCTTAATGTAATTTAACATAGATAGGGCTTCTCTATTTAGCAGTCAGATAAAAAAAATTCATACATCTTATTCTATTGTATTAATGGTTTTATTTTTTTAAATTCAATTCTTCATCTATATTTTGGGGTATAATATAGGGAAGGCACATCTAGTTTTATGAATGTTTTATGTTTTTTAATGTTTTTCAGTAATAATGCTTATCAGTGTAAAGGTTTGTTTGCCAATTAACTTTCTCCCAGTGACTAAAAAGAGCCTATGATATCATTTGCGTTACTCAATTACTGAGCAGGTCAGTGCCATGAACACTGCTGCCAGTGTTCAATGAGCTGGCACAATACTTGTACACACACAACTGGTTTATTCTTTATACTTCAGGTTTCCTTTTAAACATTTCTCAATAGGAGTAGTGGATGAATCTATTTGTTATGCACAATTAAATTTAGCAAAGAATATGGCATAGTAGACCACTTATCTTAGCTAATTTTCCTCAGGATTATACCAGGGTTCAGGGGACTTGATTTATCTTGTAATATAGATGAATTCATATAAGGATGAATCATGTTATCATAATACAAATGCTAAAGCAATTCCTAAGAATTTAGAAGATTGCTTACCCATTGTAAGTACATGTTTGTGGCAGAATTGCATGTGACTAAAAATTCATGAGTTTCCTAAAGCAAGACAAAAATGTTGATGGCTAATTACCTTTTATAATCTCTATTAGACAAAGCAACCAACTACAAAGGCCTTATCTTCTCTTTTGACTCTAGCAGAACGGTTGGCATAAAGACTTGGTTTGTCCCCAAAGACCTCAGTATTTGCCAGAAGATTTTCAATATATTTATTGAATTTATTGATTTGGTAATATTAAATACTGTTGCAGAACTGTCACAGTGGAGTGATGGTCAGAGAAGATAGCATAAAGAAAGGGAAACAATCTGAACCTAAAAGAATGGCATGATCCAAGCTAAAAAGGAGATTATTTCAGGTATATATCTGGAATAAATCCCAGGCGTATATCTGCAGTTAATAATGAATTATGGACCCAACTCTGCCACATAAATTATCAACACTTACATTTTATCTGATTGGAATTATATAAAACTTTAGGAGCAAAGAGAATAAAATAAAAATAATAACCAAAAAAGACACAGACAAAAAGATTTTCCAAATCACTACAGAATCTCAGTGCTATCCCACTCTTGTGGTACTTGCATCTTCATATGTGCTTCTCCAATTAAAAGGCAGGGTGAGAGAGTCAAGGAGGGTTTTGAATCAGCAATTAGAATGAGCCTCCCAATTTTAAGAATCAGGACAGTGTCTAGAAAGAGAACTAGAAATTTCTACCATAAGTCACTGTCAGAGACTGCTACTGGGAGTGTATGTGGTTATAATTATTTGTTGAAAATATGTATTAGAAGCTTTAAAACTGTTTGTAGACTGCTATTTACTATTATCCCTTCTATGAATGTTTTGTGGTAATGATAAAGTCCTCCAAAGATGTGCCTAGCAGTGTTAAATACAATAGAAAGATACTGGAAATGCCTGATAACTTCAGTAATTAACAGCTAAAACTGAAAATAACTAATAAACTAAATATTGAGGATTTTAAAAATGAATGTTGTACATTTATAAGATGTAATAATATTGAGCCATTTAAATGATTACAAAGAAATTTAATGATAGGAGGAGTTTAGTCAAAATGATAACAGTGGTATTCTTTAGAAGGTTTTTTTTCTGTAACGCTTTGCTGTATTGATCATTCTGTTTCTTCAGAGTGTAAAGAGATAGGAGGATGGCCAACAGTGAGGAGATAAGTCAGGGAAGAAAAAAGTCAATCTAGCGAGGGATAAGCATCTGGGAAAATGTGGGTGCTGTAATTCCCTCGGCCTGGAATTTCTGTCTCCTTCTCTTGTACTGGGCAAACTCCTACTCATTCTGCACCCAAATTAAATGTCACTCATCTGAAATGTTCCCCAATTCTGCCTTCTGAATGCAACATATTGTTTGTTTTTTCAGATGAAAATATATAATTGTGTGCTTTTGTACATGAATTAAAAAACTCTGTATTTCTTATGTTAACAGGATATTCTTTTATTTGCATATGCCTGGGTATATTAAAATGTCTATTAAAAATTTTTGGATACATATATGCTGAATGAATAGAGGCATGAATGAATTAGTAACTTTATAAAATGAATACAATAGATTAAGTGATTTTTAAGGAAGCTTTCAGGTTTATGGTTCTTTCGTTGAATATGCATATAAGTAAAGATTTCAGTCATAATAAATGTTTGTTCAACAATATATATTGAGTGAATCCATAAACTAAAAGGTGAATTACTTTCATTGTAATTTATATCATACATATTTTGCATGGGCGTATGTACTATATTTTTTGATATGTTGATATATTGTGGGGCATGTTATGATTATATATATCCCTTAGAGAAAGTTAGTCTTAGTAGGCATTAGTACCCAATGCCTTAAATCATCTAAGAAACAAATCATTAGTTCTTCATTTTCAAGGCCTCCTCTGCATGGATAACTTGAAAATTCATTGGTAAGAATTTTTTAGTCAAAATTAAGAACATCACTTCAGTATTTTTGTAGAATTATGCCATAATGTTTCTGATTTAGAAAGCTGAAATACGACTTGTTTTTATAATTCTGGGGGCATTGTATGATTTATAACAAATGCAAATAACATTTTCTAAATAATGTTAAGAAAAAAGACACTTAAAATTACTCTTGTCAGCAGTGTTTAGTTTTGGAAATGCAAACTAAGTCAACTTACTTCCTTTCCCTAGAAGTGCTGCCACTGTTGTGACATTGTGTTTCATTTTGTAACCCATCTACTACTTAGGCCAGATATGCATTTTCTGGATGCAATCTGTTGGTTTCCAATGGTTTACTACATGGTGGGCTCTATTGACAAGTAGGTGACAAAATCTTTGGCACACTAACTAGTGTAGTGTCCTGTGGTTGTCCTGTGCTGAGCCTTGTTACTGCATGATGAGTGTAATTTGCCATGTCAGTATTGCAAATATGATAGATTTTGCATGTAGAGCTTATGTTCTTGTGTTATACATCATGTTTTAAACTTCCTAAGCAGTAATCTATTGTTGCATTAAAACAAATCTTGCTGCATGTTAATTTTGTCAGTTTTGCTCAGTTTTTAATGCTATTTTAGTTTTATGTCATCTATAAAAATAACATTATTACTCTTGATATAGTGGTAGAGAAAACCTAAATATACAATGTTGTGATGCATTGATATCATTACCATAACTTCTGGAAAACTTCAAAATAATTTAGAAATGCTCCTTTTAACTTAGATTTATGAGTTAAACTTATTAAGAGCTTATTTTATTCTAGTCACATATCAGAGTTATAATTTCTAAAATATTTGCTCATTTTAAAACATCATATATATGTAATACATTAGTAATTAAATACAAATTCTTACATATGCACATGGTAGCAGTCTAAAATATATTAAAAGATCAGAACACTTGAAATAATATGAAATGTTACTTTTCCATTTTTAAAAAAGTCAGCCAGAGCCTTCAAAATAAAATACTAAAATTTACCAGTCGAGAACTTGAATACTTACATTTCATCCTGTAGATGTTGAAAAAACAAAGTTTTCTAACTTTAGAATTGTTTATTAGCTGTGGATACATTAAAGATCAAACAGACTAAAATATATTTAGCCTCCATTCTACATTAATATAATTTACATTATCATTTATAATACTAACCAACTAAAACTAGAGTTAGATATACTAAAAGTACCATTTAAATCCTACATTTATTTTATAACCAGTAATGTTAATTTGAAATGATAGTGTTCTATTAAAATTCATAAGAAAAAATAATGTATTTAAAAGATAAAGAATAAACTTCCCACCTCCCTTTTCTGATATAAACTATGAAGTGAATTTTTCCTTTATAAAAGTATTTATGGTGGGGAAAAAAAAGAACTGAGAGCATCAAATTCCTAGGGACAGAGACAAAACAGGGTCGGCTACATAGTAATACTTACTGAGTTGGGTGATGGGTCTGTCGAGGTTAATGATACAGTTCTCCTCTTTTGCTTATGTTTGAAATTTTCTTTAAAAAAAAAGCCTCTTTGAATGACTTAAAACACACTCAGGGACACTCCCTCACACTTGTACATTTCACATTCTAGTTCTTAGAAAAAGGAGCAAGGTGGAAAGGGAGGCATCTCCAATTAAATTGTACCCTTTTTTCATACAGATTGACTTTCTTGTGCCTCCATCTGGTGGCCAAACTCTGTAAAGCAGCCACACTGAAGAAAAAATAAGGCGATGGCCTTGCAAATAGAATCCGTGAGGAGAAACTATTACAGACAGTAGTTATAAGTTGGTAGCTTACTAAAGCAAAAGGAAAAAGGATTAAATGCAATATTTAATAAATAGAAAAAGAATAATTTAACATTAAAACACGATGAATAAAAACCAGTCTACATATTTTATGTATTTTCTATAGATATGAATTCATATTTAATGATAATTACTAAATTCGTTTGTCAAGCTTATGTGTAAACAAGCTTGTGTGTAACAGCCAATAGTTTTCGGACAGAATTAACTGATACACGTGGGTGTAGGTAGTGGTTAGCCATTTAGCGTAGGTACTCTTAAAGTGAAATTTTTGTCAAGGATTAACTTCAACTTCATTAAGTTATTGATTAAATATTCATCTTTCCTATCTTAATTTCTATCCATATGTCCCTATCTAGTCAATCTTACCCTTTACTGCTTTGTATTTTCCTTTTCCTATGTAGATAGTTATAATAGAGATATTTTTTAATAGAGGAAAAAAAGATTGTGAGAGCCAAAATATGAGAAAATGATTAAAAATTATAATAAGGTGGTTTGAAGACATATGTCTTAGGCATCATTTTGATGGTTCATAAGGGACTATATAACATCATTTCCCATCCAATTCCTTCTTCTTTAAGTGCATTTTAGTGAATTAAGAACAATTATAATAAATTTCCTAGATAAAAGAAAGACCCAAGTATCCCTGGGTATTCAAACTTGAAGGTCATCATATTGGTTGGATGTTATGGTCCTGGCCCCTCTTATCATAGGAAATTTATTTGGAATAACATTCTGTTTCCACAGTTTTAGCCATAAAATCTCTGCCACAGAACATTGCTCCTGATTCAAGCGAAATATTTTTTCTGGACTACTCCTGGGGATCTTGGACTCAAGGCTTTGGTAATACTCTCTCGACTAATAACAGAGTAAGAAATCCTGCCTTCCACCTTTCCATAAAAGGAAAATATTCCCTCTAATGTGACATGGCTAACTCAGCCAATCATGCACATGGAAAAGATCCTCAGGGATTTGTCTCTCCAATTTAGGAATCTAAAAGAGACTGCCATTTTTTAAGTTTTCAACGTTTTATTTTGAATCAGAAGATATGGAAATTAACCTATCTCTTTTTATCTTTCTTCAATCAGCTCTGTACCTAGAACATTCTTGTACCCATTCAGGTTTAGTCTCCCTTATCCAACTCTTCTATTTTTCTAGTTTGTATGAAGCAGAGACAATGAGAATAATAGTTCCCTGTTTTCAGTTTTAATAGTAAACTTTCTTTTAATTCATTGGGAGAATGCTAGGTAAGGTTTTTATCAGTGATGGGGAAGAAGACTGACTCTATTATAGTTCACAGGTATTTGCATCCTGACTTAGCAATTACTTCATGCAGCCAAAAAAATCAGGTTATTCAACTGCTCAAAAATTTAGTCTGACTAAACAGGCTTGCATACAAGAGATATTTATATATTTCATATGCTCTTGGCTGTGTAGACCCAATCTTTAACACATAGCTCTTATATAAAGAAATAATAGACATCTAAAAACATTTCATAGTTTTCATGTTTCTTCATTAAGCTTGACCATCTAAATTAATATAGCAATTATTTACTTCTACTTTTACCAAAAGCGTCTTAGAAACTAAAAATGCAAACATGTCTTTGAAATAGTATGTTAATTGCAAAAACAAAGTTCTAATATTATCTATTTCTATTTTATTGAAAAATGGGTGGTTTCCGTGTTTCATTTGTATAATTTATAAATATTACTAAATAAATATTCTTAACACATATGCTTTGAAACAGCTGAGATTTAATGAAATGTAAAGAGTTCAAAATAAAAATTATGTCATATTGGCAGATAATATTGTACCATAATTCCCATTAATATCTACCCCTAAACACTCTGTAAATGCCGCCTATAAGGGCAACTTATATAAGCACAGGGGATAAGCGAGCTTTAGCACCAATTCTAACATTGTGATTTATTTAAAGTCCGTTTTTGTCTGTTAATTTTTATCAAAGCCTAGATGACTTACTTAAGTGTGGAGTGACCTTTGCTGCCAACATGGTGGTTGTGGATAAAGAGAGCACCATGAGTGCCGAGGAAGACTACATGGCAGATGCAAAGACCATTGTGAACGTGCAGACACTTTTCAGGTAAGTGTCTGAATAACATAGCCCTGTCATCTCCTTTGTGCTAAACACGTGTGAAATATTTGACACAACTCTGTGTTTGAGGAGTGAACATGAGATACTTACACTGACTTTATATTCGTTCATTTATTCATTTGATCATAACACAAATACTTATTTAGCACTTTGTATATGACTGGCGTTGCATACAGTTAAATTTTTAATACCAGATTGGTAATTTTTCTTAAAATAAGTAGAACAATATGTCTGTTTTCTCAGATAGTTTAACAATAACAAATTCTGAAGTGTTGTGTGTAATAGCAGTCATGATTTCTGAGATGCTAGCCATGTGCTAACTTTTGTTTTCTGCCTGGAAGTGACCCAAAGGTAAGCATTTCCGGATAGCTAGAACTGAAATACTGCAAGGCTGTAATTAGGTAACTCATCCATTTTAGATGCAAAGTTGTAACCTTATCCTCACTGTTTTCCTGTCTTTCATTAATGAAACTCACCTAGATAAGAATCCCCTTCCTGATTCTCTTTGGGTAAGAGGGAACACTCATGACCAGAGAAAGGTCCATGTTATCAGTAAGGACAAAAATCATCCATATATCCAGACATCTACATCATCTGGAGGAAAATTTAATGTCAGAAAGATTGTTTTTTGCTTTTATGAGTTTGCAGAAGCCTATAGGAAATATGTGACCTACCAGATTATGAAAGTAAATGAAACACCTTCAACATTATCATCATCCATACTTCTCTACTCCACCTTCATACCTTGATGCTGTAGTAAAGCATATTATCAAGGTCAATCATCTCAGTTTATTGTTTGAGTTCAAAATTCAGAAAAAAGAGCCTAGATGTGAGTCCCAGTAAAGTTGCCTATTTTTTGGTATTCTCTTAGGCAAATTATTTTCCTTCTGCAAACCTCAGTGTCTTAACAAGATTATTAAAGATTTAAAAGTATATACTGTCTTAGCACATGCCTGTCAGTTTTTAATTAGTTAATAAATATTAGCTATTAGAATTATTAGCAGTATAATTATCACTTTCATGTGACAGAGAAGAAAAGACATAGAGCTGGAGCCATATAGCAACAAACTTCATTTGACATATCTGTCCTAGAGGCTCCAGCAGACACTTCCTTACTTTGTGACCTTTATAACTTGATTAAAAATCACTTTTCCTCATCTATAAAATGTTGTGGACAATAACTCACTAAAGATCAGAGATCAGGTATATAAAGAATCTGTTACAGCACCTGCAAAATCTACTGTCAATTTTCATGAGAACCTCTTGTTCCAGAAGGAGAAATACACATTCTGCAGTTAGTATAATGTGGTAGTTCACTTAGACTATAGCTAACTAGTTAACTAGTGAGCTGTAGTAAATAGTACATTTAAAGGTAGTACAGGACATGTTTAAAGTATTACAGATGTATATGCAGTTTTTTTCTCTAGAGAACAAAAAAGGAAATTACAGGGTAGAAAATTAATTCAGTTCAGGGATGAGATTTATACCCAGTGAATACATTAAAATCATACTTTTTGATTCCATGCTTGGCAAAAGCTAATTATAGTTTCAAGAGGAGAGGATCCTGGGTTTTTTTTATTAAACATGGTATTAATATTTTAGTTTTCAATCTGTGGTCAGTTTATTTCTATTATGGTGGTTTCTATTGATTTAGCTTTTATTACATATTCTCTTAATGAATTGTTTTGATTATAAGATAATAATAAATCTCCATCTTACTGAGAAATGCAAAGGCTCTAATTAGTAATTTATGACAAACAAACTGACCAAGAGTAATCAAGGACAGATATCGACATGGCAAGTGATTGTGCAGAGGCCACCCTTCTCTGAGTAACTGGCTAAGGAGGTGATCACCACATGTTGAATGAATGAATGGATGAATAAATGAATTAATAACTTTGGATGCTTTAGCTATTAGGATTACCTATCTTAAGCAGTAGGATATTTTTTAATTTAAGCAATTTTATGGTGTATATAGGTATATAGACTGAATAGTTTCAAGCAGAGAAGAACTATTAGATACTCAAATTGCAAAGTAATTACCACTGTTTTTTCTTTTCCTGTGCCCTATATATTACCATTATTTCTCTAGGTATATAACAATAGTTTTCAGGATACAAATTATACGAAACCTTTTTTATGAAGTAACTTATAAGCTGCCAATCTATATGCACTAAACTAAGCTAGTTTTACATTTAAAAAAGTAAGTTAGACATCTGTATGTCCCGATAATATAAAAATATTGCTTATGTAGATAAATGACCAAAATCATGCAGATTTTGGAGTTTTGTTTTATAAGTATAGTCAGTTACCATTCTCTGGGCCACTCTTCTGCATCCCTTGAAGATTTTAATTCCTGATATACTGTGACTCTTGCCAACCCTGATTCAGCCATAATTCTTCATGATTTCAACAGTCCTACCTAGATGATCCTTTCAGTGTCTTACATTAGCCAGCCATTCTCATGGTCATATCCTTGACCTTGAACTGTGAATAGTTTTCTACTCCACATTTTCAGTTTCTAGCATTCAACTTTCAGAGTGCTGCTGCTTATTTTTTATCTAATTTTTTCTAATAATTCCAACTTTTAGCAGTCTTTTGATCAGGCTGGAATCTATCATTTGCTGATCCTATTAGCTTTTCGTTGCCCCCAATCACCTGATGGCTTTTTTCCTCTCCTCACCTAGATTCAATTGCATGATCAATCATCATAATCGCTGCTGTGCTGAAACTAATAGGCTAACAGTGATCTCAACCCTCTCCCATTTCTCTCTTCCTCCTATTCCCAGTTTTCTTTCCTTGTAGGTTCTCTATCCACCACCATGCATGACCTTCCCTAGAGGCAGATGAAAACATTCCAGAGGTAGGGTCCAGTTATCCTTATCAGTAAGCATCAGGCAAATGTAATAGAAATCCAGTCACAGTGGCTAGATACCAAACTGTTCAGGAGTAAAGCTTAGAGCCCAATCCCTAAGGGAACTATATTCTTACACAGTGTTATGCAAAAGTGAATAATCTTTCTAAAATATCTCAGCCAATGCTTATATCTTGATGAACACCATTAATTCCTAAATTTTCAGTGGGTTAATTAGTAAGTCTTATGATGTTGATAGAACTGCAGATAACAGAATTAACATTGTGTGAACTTTCTGATTAAAAACCAAAGTGAGCCACCTTGGCTGCTAAAATAGAATCCTAGCTGAACCTGGAGTTTAAGTTAAACCAACATATGCACCTATCACATTGTTTATTCTGAAGCATTTTTAAAGTAAATTACAGATATCATAAGAGTCATTTCCTTCCCAGAACAAACTAGACAGACCTTTTATTGATCCCTTACTCTGATTTGTTTCTTCTCTCATGGTGAGATATCCTTTATGGGCTCTAAGTAGCCCTTCATAGCAGCAGACTTCCTCTGGAACAGATCTCATGCTAGAGGTTCCAAATTCCCTGGAGAAATAGAGTATCTCCTCTCCTTTAGTCATGAGAGACTCCTTCAGTCCTAAGCAATCGGTTAACCATCTTCCCAGAGACCATTTCTACATATCAAAGACATCAAGTAGATAAGGCCTTCCTCAAATGAAATCCTGTTATACCTTCCTCTCCCATGTGCCTAAGGGCTTTCATAAAGTAAGCCTTCCAGTACAAAGACCTGCTAAAAAGTGAATATCTGGTTTCCAAATTAGAAGAAAAACAGGTCCTCACTTTCAAATTTAAATTTCTCTTGCTAAAGTTTTACCTAACAAGACATTCATTACATTTGGAAAATATTGCATGCTTTCATATGTTTATAAACAAGTACTTCTAAACCAATTTAAACAAGCACATCAAAATGTGCCTTGAATTAAAAACAACTATTTTAAAACGGCTATGTGAGATTCACCTGTCAAAATGTTGTAATCCTAGCACTTTGGGAGGCCAAGGTGGGAGAATCGCTTAAGGCCAGAAGTTCCAGACCAACCTGGGCAAAAGCAAGATCCTGTCTCCACAAAAAAAATAAAAAAATAAAAAATTAGCTAAGTATGGTTATGTATGCCTCTAGTCCCAGCTACTCAGGAGGCTAAGGCAGGACGATCACTCAAACCCAGGACTTTCAGGTTGCAGTGACCTATAATGGTTCCACTGCACTTTAGCTCTGACAACTGAGCAAGACCCTGTCTCAAAAAAAAAAAAAGTACCCTACTTTGGGAATGTTTGGCATGTCACTGACTCTGTCATTTCTATCACTATGCCCACTTTACTGACAAAGAAAGCAACATTGTGAGACATTTTATGGCTCATCCTAGGCCACATAGGAAAAAACTGCAGATTCACGCCTACAACCTAGATGTCAGAAGGAAGATGAGAAAATTTTCTTTAGGAGTTGAGAGCAAAAGTTTCCCTGGAGAGCACACAAAATAATATTTAGTACAGAATGGGTATAAAATTAAATAGGTGTTAAATTTGTATGGCAGAAGTCCAAGAATGATTTGGTTCGGAAGTTCCTTGGGTTGATTTTGTTTTAATATGATGATTCTGTTGTTTTTGCTTTTGTTTTATAAAATTTAGCTGACCAGACTTGTAAGATAATGAGCACTGTCAATGGAGACATTGGAACAAGTTATGGATCTGTCATCTGTTTGGAATAGAGCAATTCCTGCTATAGTTCAATAGCAGGACAGGATGACCTGTATGGTCATATCTGTAACTGTGATTTGTCCGTATATGCTTGGCCCACAGATTTATTGAACAAGTGTTGAGACTACATGCTGTGGCTGCCCTGATGCACAAGGCAGAAATAGCTCCTGGCCTTAGGATGCCAACAGTCTAACAGAGAAGGCATTAAAGACAGCCATTTAAAAATTTAGCTAGAGAATTATAAGTGTGTCAATTACTGAAAAAAAGTAGAATTTTACGTAGATCCAGATAACAAGAATATTTGATCTAGTCCCATGTGTTGGGGAATGCCTGAACTGGAATCCTTTACAGGAAAGGTGAATAAAAGCTACATGGATGAGGAGGTGGATGGAGCGCTCCAGATGGGGGCAGCTTGCACAAAGGTTTGAGGTCCTGAAATCGAGGCATAATGAGGACTTGCAGCAGAGCTAGGGGACGACAGGTGTGAGGAGGTCTGAAATGGAACTCAGAACCAGATTACTCATGGTTTTATAGTTTGTTCCTAAGTTTGTCTTTATTTTAAGAATAACAAGAAATCATTGAAGAATAGAGAAGTTTTAAAAGATAACTTTAGGTACAATGCAGAGATTTGATTTGGGAAAAGAAAGAGTAAGTGAGAGCAGACCAGTTAAGAGACTCGTGCATTGCCAGGACTAAAGGATAAGGTGTTTTTGCTTGTCTGTGTTTTTTTGGTTTCTTTTTATGGAAGGAGTATTCTCTTTAGATTGGCACAAGTAGTCATAGTCTTACTGAGGATATGACATGCACATGCATGTGGAAAATGACATAATTCAAAATAATATAGCCATAAACGTAAGTATATAATTGAAAACAGATACTCAGCATGTATAAATACACGAGTGATTCCTTTAAATAACACTTTTAATGTTTAGATTGGCTATTGTTTACATGAATAAAATTTTTAAATACTTGATGTTTATCATACTATCATTTATTACTAACTCAGACATCCTAAAGTGTTTTAAAATTATTTGTGAAGATTAAAATATATTTGCATTTGTTTTGGTATTGATAGTCAATTGTAGTCTAAAACTAGTGTTTCATGTATCTCGGTGTGTCTGTGTACCTATATGTTAATGTGTACTCCCTGTTATTCAAACACATCATTTCCAGCCACCAGGGCAGATCAAAATTTATCCTGTAATACACTGGCTCAGTTAATAATATTTCAACTAAAGTATTATAAGCATCTTCCAGATTTAGATGCTCTTATCTTTGTTTTTCCATTAACATACAAATTACAGCTAGTTTCAAAGTTCTCCCAGTAGCCTGTGAAGTAGAGTATGTGGTTTGTTTTTCATCTTTATATTGGTTACCATAACTGGGCATGTCAGAAATATTTATTGAATAAATTAATACAGGCAGAGAACTCTTCCATAGATATTTTATGCATTTCCACAGTTAACTTACATCACTGAGTCAGAACATAAAGTAATTGTAGAAAAGTTTTAAATAGAAAAAGTTATTATATTTTTAATTACAATATTGCTCTACTGTGACCCTAATACTTAGGAAAAGGAGACATGTCATTTTATTTCCAAAATGTTCTACATTCAACGTGTATTTAGTTCATATTAAGGTACAGAAAGAGATTTATAGTATTAGTATTTCAAAGATACATAATTAAATCTATTTGACAACCAAATTTGTAAATGTAAAATATTATAATTAAATACAAACAATACTCTATAAAGGGCACTACAACACAATATTTCCATATGTAAGTATTACTTGGCTCTAAATTTTCGTTAGGTGGCAGGCTTAACTAATGCATTAAGTTTCTCAGTTTAAAATAATATAAATGGTATAGGTTCATATATATAGATCAGAAATGGGTGTCACATCACATAAATTTTGTGGTCCTATCTAATTTCAACTTTAGAAGTCACTCAAATGCAATGACTGGGACACTCAATCAAATTTTCATTCACTCTTAGGAAGACCCCCAAATATATTTACTGCATATATATGTATATTTCTATTTGATATAATGTGTTAGAGAAGTATTATAAACAAAATAATCCAAGTAATCAGAAATTTATTCAAAGTGACATAATGGTATATATGAAAGATAAAAGCCATTATTTTTCAGGGAAAATAAAAATATTTCAAAAGTTTAAGTAATTTTTTATTAGTTTGTAGTTATATTTTCTTGATAAATATCTTCTCTGGCCTTATTTCTCAACACAGTCCTAGATGTCTCACAAGGTATCCATTCACTACTTAATGCAACTTAATCCAGAAGCATTCAGTTAGCCACAATTTATCACCCCTTATAATTTTTGAATTTTTATTGTTTCATCTACTAAATCATAGAGTATTTAAAGGCAGGAATTTTACTTTACACATCTTTGTATCTTCTGGAGATCAAAGCTCTCTAATAGTAAGTACTCAGTAATTATTTGTTAAATTAGATATTAAATATTGCCATTAGTAAATACAAATTATGAAGACTACATGAGTTAATACTTGGATAACTCTTAGAAGAGCATTTTATAAATTTTAGATGCTATCATTTTATGGACATTTTTTCACCCTTCCAAAGAAGAAAAAAGACAGAGAGGAACCTTAGGTCAGTCAATTTTTCTATTTAAAAGTTTAGAGCATGAATATGGGATTTGCTGTCTAATTAAGGCTGTAGGGCTTTGTGTTCATTGATTCATTTTGGTATTATTATTTATTAATGTTAGTTTCTATGTCAAAGATTATTGAATATTGTCTGTGACAACCCATATTATGGTGAATATCTTTAATGACATTGTTATTTTAAAATATTTCTTAAATACTTTTTAAACTTTCAGATGTTATAAGATTTTGCAGTTAGTGGCATTTCTTAGGCCTACCAGATGGAGTTTCCTGGCTCAATAATAAATTGACCTTTTTTTCCATCAGGCTACTTTTCTAATTTTTTGAGTGTCTGAAAAAAAAAGAATTTTAATTTATTGAATTTAATATGATTGGTGACTTTTGAGTGAGAAGAATAGAGTTGCTTAAGGAAAGTCATGTGGGATTATATAGATAATACAATCTTTCTTCATAAACTAATTAATTTCAGCACCTTCTTCATCCAGATATCAGATACCTACTAAATAAACCACATATCTCAAGTGCACAAATAAGAATTGAGAAATTATGTATTTTAACAAAGATTTATTAATTAAAGGAATGTAAGGTGTGGTACTAGTCACTGAAAGGAAATCTTTGCATTTCTAGATGCTCGATGGAGCAAGTTGTAGCATAAAAAGTGTTATAAATCTGATACCAGGGAGTGAAAGTGGAGAGAATGATTCTGACATTAAAAGTTCTAAAAAATTCCATCTTAATTGAATTTGAGAGCAACTTTAAATAATACTTGGGATTTCAAAATGTAGAGATTAAGGAGAAAAGTCTACAGGCAAGAAATTGCACATCAGACAGAAATAGTAACACGAGAAAAGGAAAAAAGTTAGTAATATCACCACAACTAAGAAACAGTACCTACTGCATGTCAAACACCATGCTAAGTGTTTCACAAACCATATCTTTAAACTTCGAGGTACCCCTCCTTTTCAGAATCTGAGATGTAGAATTTCCTTTAACCATTCCAAAGTCACGGAACTACTGAAAACAGTGATTAATTGCACAAATGAAATTATAATATTTTTAACATTAAAAACCAGCAAAAGAAATTATATTCTGACTATTGTTTCACTGATATTATTTTAATCATAATTATAATTTACCTAAATCAAAAAATACAATAATAATTGTTCTCAAAATGGAGATTAAGCCGTATAATACTGGCTGTATTTCTTCCTATTATAAACTGAGGATATCACAAAATAACCAATGACATCATAGTTCTCAAAGTCCTTGACTAGGTAAGGCCCAAATACTAGTCCATTTAGGTGGCCAAGACGGCATGTAAGTTTCAAAGATAACTGTGAATGAAACTGTGCTTAAGAATGTGTTAGTGGATTGGTGACTGAACTGGAATGGTGACTGAAGCCCACTGGGAACAGACATGAGAGGCAGGTGATCAGGGAAGCCTTGGCCACAGGTTGGGGAACAGTGCCTGCTGGCTGCTGATCTGGTTGGCATGCCCACTCCTCCTGGACGGAAGGAGTAGTCCCGGCGCATCACCAGTCTGCATTTGGGAGTGAGGCCTCAGGAAAGGAAAAAAATCGTCTGTAGCTCGGGGGTTAATGGACAGGGCTCCCATCCTGAAAGAAGCACATTCATTTATACGTGCCACATCTAGCGCTGAAGCACATGGAAGCACCAACACCCTCACTGCTGGAATGAGGGTAAGATGAGAGCCACAAAGTTAATTTGGTTTTCAACCAAAAACAAGCTGTTTATATTCTGTGTATTTTCAGTCAGATCTAGTCCTTGAGTTCAAGGGATGGGTCCAAACTAGTGATGGGAATTGTAAGTGGCTAAAACTTAGTTTAAAGACATACCACACAGGAAACAAAGCTAAGTATCAGAGGAAGTAGCTGCTACCGAGCATCCCAAAAATTTGAACCAGGAAAGCTACCAGTGATGCATAGATATTAGGTAAGAATCATATCATCAACAACAGCAAAAATAAAAAGACATTTATTGTGGTATTATTTTGCCCCTCTTCTCTAGGGAAAAAAAATATTGTGTGAGCCTATGTATATGTGCATGTTTGTGTATGTATTTTGGGGGTGGGGGGGTCAAATGGGAAGAAAGCTGGTGAAAAGCCATGAGATGTGAAAATTCTCAGTATACTTTGGACCAACACTATCAACGCTTTAGCCTTGACCTGAATTCGTTACCATGAAGTTTTATATAAATTATTTCCTCTTCTAAGGAGTTTGTTGTAGCAAAATTTGACATTTAAAAATTGCTTACTATGAAAATAGGGAGCCATAGAACATCAGAGAGCTCACATAATGGACAGGAAACTCATCAAGTAAAATTTTTGCCAATCAGCATATTTATCGCAAATTTCTATTTCATTATCATCCACAGAGTAACCTTATAACTCCATAAATCAGCTCTCTTGAGTTTCTCTTTTATGCTGTTTCATAATTATAGAGAGAAAATGTCTAATAAAAGCCAAATTACTGGATTTATTTTTCTTATTGTGCTAAAATGTTGGCTAAAATATTCTTTGGAAAATAGTGTTTCATTTTTTTTTGCGTTGTACAGAACATTTTATGTGGCACTGCCTGCTGCTGTAATTGGATGTAGTTTTATGCCTAAGGCTAGGAATCACTCACTCATAAAGATGTTGTTATAAAAAATACCATATTGGATTGTTAGTGTAATGCAAATGTTTTTTTTGAAATGTAGGTTGTTTTCCAGTCTCAGTATTATCACAGAGCTTACTCATCCAGCCAACATGAGATTCATGCAATTCAGAGCCAAAGACTGTTATTCTCTTGCTCTTTCAAAACTCGAAAAGGTAAGACTTCACATTATTAATTTTGACTTAACCATTTTGATTCAAAGACTAACCATGGAAATATATTATTTTTACTATCTTATGATGTAGTAAAAATAAAAATGCTGTTTTGTATTCATATTTGGGAAATAAAATCCTAATTTATAATTTTGTTTAAAAAATGTGAGTTGATGTATTTGAACCATTTTTATCACTAGTAAATATGCTGCAGATATTCTGTTCTATCATTATTAATCATAAATTTAAAATATAATATAGGAAATAAATACAACAGAAATGTATACACTAACTTACAATGTCGGTTATATTGTTCTATTAGAAGTCATTTGCTATGTCATGAAATCCATATTTACAAAGAGCTTTTTGCAGTTTCCAAAAATCCCTAAGGTCTTAGAAAAGCTGTAGGCTTTGTTGAAAGCTGACTTCCCAAATGTCACAACCTGAGACAAAACCAAGTTTATTGCTTCCCTAGGTAAGGGTGATGCCTTCTCAAGAGAGTTTTGACAATGCTTGGGGGAAAGAGAGGGATGGACGGAAAACAGATTGAAATTTACTAAGAATAGGAAATTTGATTTAATGAGGGTGTTTCCAAGCGGGCATTTGATTAGGATTAGGAAGAGGTCAGAATAATGCCAGTGGAGACAGTGAAATTGCAAAGTCATGTTATATAAACAGAAAGATTTAGTTTCTATTCTCAGTGTCCATGCTGAGTGTGGGGGTAGATGATTTTTGTATTCACCTTTAACTTAATACTAAATAGCAGTATACTGGGGGAACTGGATGTTAAAGGGAAAAAAGAGTGATTCAATCTTATACATGTAAAAATGTCTTAAATCTCTGCTGTCTTCGTTGTTTATAAAAAGGTAGAGAAAATGATGCCTTAGATACTTTTGATTAGTTCTTTGTTTTACTTAACAGTTTAATTGATTACACATTATGTCAGACGCTGCCCTAATTGCTGGGAGACGTATTGAGTAAGGTTGTTTGTGCACTTTTGTTTGTGGATTTCTATCCCCAAAGCTGGTTCACATACATTATGACAGTAGACCCTTCCCCAGTCTTCTATGGGCATAGGGAAATTATTGTTTTGCCTGCTTCCAGATGTGGAAACTGAGTTTGAGACAAGTTAAATAGATGACTTTTTCAAGATTATATATTATAGATATCAAGTCAATTCAGTAAAGGAAATTTAAAGCAGGATAGAAAATTTCCATTATGCCACATCACTTTAACAACAAAGAAAGGGTGGCAAGCAGGACTAAATTGGCACACCACCTACAGCAAACTGCAGTGACTAGAGATCCAGCTGGAGCCAGTGCTGGCGCAGTGTCCTATGGCCTCCTTCACGACAGGTGAGGTAGAGTTGCCTCGGGATGAAGCAGCCAGGCTCTGGAGTCAGATCGGTTCAATTCTCCACTATTCTTGAGGAATGGAACCTGGATAAATTATTTACACATCTGTACCCTTGGGATCCTCATCTGGGAAATAGTGATAGGAGCTAAATAATAGGGTCATTATAAAGATTCCACCACATAATCTATGCAAAGCACTTAGCCCAGCATTTGACATATAATTAGTACTCAAATAAATCATACTAAAAGCATAATTATAAATTTTACATGTGTTGATGTAGTCACGGATAAACATGTCATTCTGTGTGTTCAGTTTCACACCAAGGCAGTTGTTGCAGCAAGGTCACAATTGTGGAAGATATTTTCAGTAGTTGTGAGTGTGCGTGTCTACATGGTTGTATATTTATTTGAGTATTTGAAAAAGAAAAACAAGGGGGTAGAGGGGGCATGGGCAATGTATGTAACCTTAACATTTGTACCCCCATAATATGCTGAAATAAAAATAAAAAAAGAAAGAAAAGAAAAACAATGAGTCATACTTGTCAGTCAATTACATATATCTCTTTATCCAAATGAAAAAAATAAAACTTTTCATATCTTTGCAGCAAACCAGAAGGTATAATTTAAAGCCAGGCACCAATGCTAAACTCCCAAAGAGACAGAGACACACGTTGCCATCCTCCTTAATGTTCACATTTCAAAAAGATAGCTCCAAGGCCCGCAAGAAAGACATTCCTGGAAGGAAAAACTGGCTACAGGTGTATTTAGGTTTTCAAAGAGTTGCATCCTTCTCGAAGTGACAGAAAGGATTTAGAATTACAGGTTTGCTAAGGGAAATGCTCTAGGGAAAAGGAAAGAGGGTGGGGACTTTTTTTTCTCTTTATCATCAGGGAAATTCTATTTTTCTTTTAATTTGTATTTGCCCTACATCTTCTTGATTTTCCTAAGAAGAAAAAATGAACTCAATACATTTCCAAGTTATTCAGGAAGAGGGAACTCCATACGTTTCCAAGTTAGGAATAGAGAGGCTGGAGGAGGTGGAATTGAAATCAATGGTTTGGATGTTATAAAGGCATGGAAAATTCTTTTTGATCCACTTATTACCATTTTAGCCATTAAAATTAGGATTTTATCACACAGAAACTTCTTAAGCTTCTGTACTTATGGATTAAATTGTGTATTCCCTCCCACCACCCCCAAAAAAGGTATGTTGGAGTCCTAACCCACAGCACCTCAGCATGTGTTCTTATTTGAAAATGAGATCTTTACAGAGGATCAGCTTCAAAGGAGAGCATTAGGGTGGACCTTAACTCAGAGTTCACTGACATCTTTATAAAAAAGGTAAATTCAGACATACAGACAGGCACACATAAAGGGAAGGCAATGTGAACAGAAACCAAGAAGACAGTCATCTACTACAAGACAATACATTTCTGTTGTTTAAATCACCCAGTTGATAGAACTTTGTTATTACAGCTCTATCAAACTAATAATGTGCCATCAATGATATGGCAACTATTCATTTCCAACCAGGGTTTTTTTTTTTAAATCACTGATATTTACTGGTACAGCTAACATACTGTTTAATTATTTTTCTATGTTTGTATTCTAAGTACAAGGAGATATTTTAGGAGTAGGAAATTGATCTTTATTTCTAATATTTAAATAAATTTTCAATAACATTGTCAACAGTTACTTTGGCTGAGAAATATGTGGACTTTTATTCTTCTAAACATAATTACCATTATCATTTTACTCTAAGTAGATGCAACTACACCTTCCTGGGTGAGACCTTCATCTTTAGAAACACAATTAAGATTTTAAATTAGGCACAAACACCAGCTTGGCTGCTTACATACTTTTTTTTTTTTGCTACTTAGTGGTCCTCATTCAAACTTACGAAGTTATAGGATTTTTAAGGTATATTCCTAGAAGACTGTGTTGGCCCCTGTTGCTTTAGTTATGTGATAATTAAGCTTTGATGTTTTCTTTGTAGACATTGCATTCTAATAAATATTAATATATTGTCCCCATGGGGATCAGAAGTTAATACTCTGTAAAGATTCTCTGGAAGTAGCCACTCACCGCAGAATATCCACTGTCCTGGAGAGAAAATTTCTCACCCATTGCAGGGTTCATGCTGAGATCTCCATGACAAAAGACAGACTAACCAGAGAAAAGCATAACAGATTTATTTTATATAAGTTTTACATGATACAGGAGTCTTTAGAAATGAAGACTCAAAGAAATAGGGAAATCTGAATATTTTTATGCTTATGTTTGATGAAGAGTGGACAGTTGTGCAGAAGTATGATTTGACAAAGGGGGTATGGCCTAATGGTAATAAAGGGGGAACTTAGCAAGGTCTGTCTTTTTCATATTTTTCTTGGTGTCTCTGTGTCTTCAGTGATAAGGACATTCTTTTCCTTTGGGTATAGGGAGAACCCCTCTGGAATGGAGTTTTAGGACCTATTTTCAGGGAAAGGTCAGCTAGGTTTTTATGGACTGCTTCAGGGAAGAAGGAGTGAGAAAGGATCATATAGAACTTCCTGCTTCTGCTGTTTTCACACATGCCAAGGTGACATACATTGTAGCATGTCCTGAATCCCATTACCACAATAATATCTTCCATTAAGAAAAGAACTGAAAACATAGAAGGATCATTGGTTCATAACAATGATGTGAACAATGCTTGTGAGGATGCCCCACTGTTCTTGTTGAGGAATAAATTTCTTGATTATACCTTAATTATTTTTTATAGTTGCCATCTTGAGGAATTCCTTTGTCCATTGTTTATGTTCCTTCTGTCTCTGAACTCAAGCTTTAAGTTCTTCTAAATATAAGATCATGTCATCTGCAAACACAAGTAATTTGACTTTCTTTCCAATTTGGATTCCCTTTCTTTCTCTTGCCAAATTGCTCTGGCCAGGACTTCCAATATTATGTTGATTAAAAAGTGATGAAAGAGAGCATCCTTGTCTTGTTCCAGATCTTACTGAAAAGGCTTTCAATGTTTCCTCATTCAATATGATATTAGCTGTGGGTTTATTATATATGGCTTTTTATCATGTTGAGGTGTGTTCTTCGTATACCCACTTTTTTGAGGATTTTTATGATCAAGGGATATTGACTTTTACTGACTGCTTTTTCAGCATCTATTGAAATTACCATATATGGCTTTGTCTTTGATTCCGTTGAGGTGATATATTGCGTTCATTGATTCACACATGTTGAACTATCCTTGCATTCCTAAGATGAATCCCACTTGATAGTGGTGAATGATCTTCTTGATGCGTTGTTAAATTTGTTTTGTTAGTAATTTGTTGAGGATTTTTGCTTCTGTGTTTATCGGAGATATTTTTCTGTAGTTTTTTGTTGTTGTTTTTGTATCTAGATCTGATTTTGGTAACAGGCTAATGCTGGAGTTGTCAAAAGAGTTTGGAAATATTCCTTCTGCTTCAATTTTTTGAAATATTTGGTATTAGTTCTTTAAATGTTTGGTAGAATTCAGCAATGAATCCAGCAGGTCTTGGGCTTTTCTTTGATGGGAGGCTTTTTATTATTGGTTTGATTTCATTACTCACTGTTGGTCTGTTCAAGTTTTCTATTTCTTCTTGATTCTATCTTGGTAGGCTGTATGTGTCCAGA